GGGGGAGGCTGGGAAGGGATGTGAAGGGTAAACAAAGGAGGAGGCTGCAATGCTTGGTAAGAAATGTACGCATTATCCTGCCCATGCAATTGTAGCCCCTCTGTATAATATGTTCACAAATAAAATAAAATATAAAAAAAAAAGAGTCTCACAGACTTTCTTGCCTGGGATGGCTTGGAACGGTGGTCCTCAGATCTCAGCCTCCTGAATAGCTAGGATTACAGGCATGAGCCTGTCAAATCAAATCTTTTTTTTTTTTGTGTTGGTCGTGGGGCTTGAACTCTGGGCCTGGGCGCTGTCCCTCAGCTCTTCAGCTCAAGGCGAGCGCTCTACCACTTGAGCTACAGCGCCCCTTCCGGTTTTCTGGTGGTTTATTGGAGATAGGAGTCTCACTGTCTCTCCTGCCCGGGCTGGCTCTGAACCACGATCCTCAGATCTCAGCCTCCTGAGTAGCTAGGATTACAGGCGTGAGCCACCAGCGCCCGGCTGTCAAATCAAATCTTAAAGACCTAGAATTATTCTCAATGTGTTTATGGAAATCAATACACAAATGTCACTAAGCTGAGTGATCAAATTGTTTGCCTTTATAAAGTGGAGAGGAGGACAAGGGCCTCAACAATTTATTTTCTTTCATTTTTGCATTGGTACAATTTGAATGGGTGAAAACCAATATCAAGCAGTATGTATTAATTGCTCATAAATCGAATTAAGACAAAACTTACTTATTCAAATTCTTCATTATCAAATTAAAATTTCTATAAATCTACTAATAATATAAAGGTAATAGTTTATTTAACAAAAGAAACTTCTTGATAAGCTAATTCTCTGCCCATAGACAATATGATATAAACAGATACTCTAGTCATGACTCGTGGATGTATACACATACGCAGGCACCCTTTCAGAAAAGATAAATGATGAAGAGGTCAAACAAACAAGCGTCTTACTGGTAGTCACATACCTGCTTCGACTTTTGTCAACAGGAAAGATTCGAATAGATTTATCAAAACTAGCAGAAACAAACTCTTTCCCAGTGGGAGAGTAGTCCACATCAAGCACTGCAGATACGTGATCTAAGTGGACCATAACTGGAGTGTTCAGTGCACGCATATCAAATGTATATAAGCTGTAAAAGAATTGTTCAATGTTTCATCCAAATTTCTAGAAAGAAGTCATAAGTAGTACTAAAAGACAATAGTAAAAATAAGGCCCACCAGCTAAACAATGCACATCTAAATACACAAGTCAATTCTGTACATAGCAAGTAAAGAACAAGAAAATAATAGCAACAATTTTTATTTCTCTTTAATATTATGCCTACAAACATACAAATACACTTCCCTCTCTATGTTAAGTTTCACTATTGAAAATTTGGGAAACAATACACATAGAACAAAATTACCTTTACCCCCACTTTTCAGAGAGAAAATTAACAACAGAAATTTAAAAATCTTTTCACTATGGTATTTAAACATATTTTTGAATAAAATTGAGATGATACTGCATAAAACTTTGTGGTGATAATCCCCAAGCACATTATGACCATTTACCCATATCATTAAATACTTTTTGGAAAGATTTTAATACGTACAAATTTGAATGAGTTAAAATAATTACTTTCCCTATTTTTGATAAGTAGTATTTTCTTATTATAAATTATGCTTAAATGAAATCTTAATATTTAGCATTCAAGTTTTAATTGGATGTGATATGATTCAATCAAGTCAGGACAGATTCCTATAAGGAGAAATACACATTTAAAAAACTGGCAAGGTGCCAAATGACTTCTAACAAAGTTGCCTTAATTTATATTCTTAGCTGTTATATATCAAAATGAACATGGCTTTTCAAAAAGTATGCCAAAATTAAGAAACTGACTTGTTAAGTTTGGGGATTTAAAAATTCTTAATCAACACCTAAAAGAATAGTACACAAATAAGTCAACATAGAGAATGGCTTAGAGAAATAGAGCATTTTGTGAGCAAGCTGTCTCTGAACTTGCTACATGGGACCACATAACCTCATACTTGCAATCTTCCTGTAATGCCAAGCGCTGGCATTACAAATGCCTCTGAACTACTCCTAACCCAAACTTCCTTTCTTACAGATCATAAAACAGTAACGGAGTTAGTCTGAATGACTCCCCAAACCTTCTCAAGTAATTACTGATTGGTATAAACTTGACCTTAGGTTTCTACTTCAGAAAGATCAGAATACTTAAAAGGAAATAAAAGAAAATATTTACAAATACAGAAAAGATATGCCACAACAAGATTATATGTGTGCACGTGTGCATGCTAGTTATTGGGGCTTGAACTAAGGACCTAGCACTTGGTAGGCAGTCAGTCTATCAGCTGAAACTCACCTCCATCCCTTTTTACTTTCATGAGGTTTTGAATGGATCTTAAGTTTATGCCTGGGAGAGCCTGGATGATGATCCTCCTATTTATAAATTCTGAGAAGATAGGATGATAGATGTCTGCTACCATGCCCAGCTATTGGTTGAGATAGGATTTCACTAACATTTTGCCCATCTAGCCTGGAACTGAGATCGCTTTTGTCACTGCCTCAAAAGTAGCTGGGATTATAGGAATAGGCTATAGTATACAGGTAAGATCATTTTTAAGGTGAGGACAACTATGGGACAATCTAACAGTTCTTAAAATGGATATATACTTTGTATTTTAGATGCCATATTAGGTACCATATATAATTCTTCCTAAAGCAAGAAATGAGAAATAACAAATCTGAAAAAGATGATTGATAAAGCACCTGATAACAAAGTACAGTATTAACTCCTTTATTTTATTGTCTTTCATTGGAACAATGGCATTTGGTTTCAAAACAGAAAAAGGCAAAAAAGGGTTTCAATTAATGTGGTTAGCTGTTGCTAAGGAGAGTCCAACTATGTTTCTTTTTAATGTAGAAAGTAATGTGATCATTTCAGTTTGTACCTCTAAAACATCATGTAATAAATCATATTTATGAGCTAGAATTATACAGAATTTTATGTTTATGTTTTCAGAATTATACAGGAGAACAGAAAATTTAATATAGAAGACCTAAAGGTCTCTCTGTTTCAATTATCCTAAAAAATTAGATAACATAATAGTCTACCAACCTTACAATATAAAGATGAAATAAGATAAAAAATGTTCAGTGCTTCAACAAGCATTAAGCCATTCCATAAAGAACCATAATCACATCTAGGTCAAGAGTAGAAGGCTGCTAAGTCAAGTTCACACACAGAATAATATATTTCCATTTATGAAGCTAAAAATTTTAAACTTATTTCTATTTGCTTATTGATATAATCCTGACAGCTCATAGCATGACTAAGAAAATATCAATTACCCAAAGAATTACAAATATCCATAAGCAGATAACACTGTTTTCATTAAAACATGTATTGTTATCATCATTATTTATGCAGCTTATATGAGTTATCACACAACTTCTGAGAGGTCAGATAGTAAACATGTTGGCCAAATGGGCCATATGGTCTTTCACAACTATTTGACTCAGGCTTTATACTCTTAACAGCCATAACTAGTATACAAATATATTGCAATAAAACAAAAATCTCTAATAGGCAGCAGAGAGAATCTGGTCCACTGTTACTTGTCTGTTGAAATCTGAGAAAATTTCCAGAATCTTTTCCAACCTGAGAAACTACTTTTAGCACAACAAATGACAAGAGTTTTGTAACTTGTAAGAGAAAGTATACTTACCTAGTAAAAACTGTACTCTACTAGTATAACTTATTCAATTGAGCTGTTTCTGATAGAAATACAAGTTTTAAAAGACAGATACTTACTTGTAATCTTCATTTGCTGCAGTAAAAATGAAAGCTTCCATAGGATTCCAACAGATTGTATTCGTTCTCATATCTAAGATAACCTGAGAAAGGAAGCATAAGCTATCCTGTTACAATAAAGTTAATTATCTCTAAAACTCATTCCTTTTCTCACTGATTTAAGCAATTATTTAATAAACCTTTCATGTGCACAGCAATCAATTGAGAGCAGTGGGAAAAGAAATCAATCATAAACTATTTCAAGAACACAGGCAAGAGTAAATATGAAAAAGAGAAATATAGTATACCTAGTGCCTGGATTTTAAACAACACAGTTTAAACAAGAAAATAAGATATACATAAGAAAACCTAAGACACAGTAATAGATGCTAGTATTAAACTGGGGAAAAATAATGGTGAATTTAGGGTCAGAGTACAGAAAAATGTTTCAAAAGACAAGCATGATTTGAGCTAGCCTATGAAGACCAGCAATTTACAATGTTTTTCCATACACTACTATTTGCAATTTTGAGATGAGTCATCTTTGTTGTGTGTAACTGACTACTGTAGGATGTTTAGCTCTCACACACCTCCCTACCAACTGCTCATTTCACACTTCCAAAACTACACTGTTCTTTAGGGGGAGTGTAACCCCTGACTGAGAACTACTATATTTAGGAAAGAAAAGAGGGAAGAAACATTAGCAGTCTAAAAACAGAACAAAAAAATAAAACAAAATAAAGTAGTTGTGTCTATAAACCTTCATGTGACAAACTCCAATTAAATGTTTCCGTACTTACTGAAACAAACAACTGAGTGGGCTACTTTAGGGTAGAAGATTTTAAAATCCAGTTATTTTCTTTACTCTAAAACTCAAGTGACACAGACTAGCGGCATAAGTGAGAGTTCTTACCTAGAAAGAAGTAAGGCCCTGAGTTTAATAAATACTGTAACTAAGTAAATGGAAAACAAAGTAATGGAATAGAGAGCTTCATGTTGGCATTGAGCTAAAACACATCGTGTGTGTGTGTGTGTGTGTGTGTGTGTGAGCTAAAACACATCGTGTGTGTGTGTGTGTGTGTGTAAAAGTACTAGGGCTTGAACTCAGGGCCTCAGCTTCATTCAGCTTTTTTGCTAACGGATGGCATATTTTACCATGACTTTTTGCTGGTTAACAGGGGACTAGAGTCTCTCAGACTTAATCTCAGCTTTCCAAATAGGATTATAGGTGTGAGTCACTAGCACCTGGCTATAGGTAGCAAGCATTAGTCTTACCAACATGCTACAAGATAGTATTTATTGTCACCATTTTGCAAGAGAACATAGATGAAATTACTACCTTTATGTTTAACGTTTAAAGTTTATGTTTAAAGTTCTTATCAAATAAATAAGTAAAATTATTAAGGAAATACTTTGGAATATTATAGTTATTTCAAATTTCAATAAATGTCCTTTAAGTTTAATACCCTGAGTTTACTACATTATAAAAATGGTTTAGGAAAAAAAAAAACACCAGTCCTGAAAGTATTCATTCTTTCCTTTCTCCCTCATCAACTCACCTCTCCACTCTTTCCTGATGCTAGAGATCAAACCTAGTGTATTATATATACTAGACAAGAGCTTTACCACTGAGCTACAAGCTCAGCTGCATTTCTTTTACATATGGACTATCACAATGGGCTCATGCACGTGAATGATACCTAGCACTTCTTGTGCTCTCATAATTCTACTAGCACTACTCTGAACTTTATATACTTAAAATCGTATTGTTCTGTTTACCTACAGACAGTATTTCTCTAGCTCTTGAAAGTCATCTTAAGGTTATATTATACTTGATATCTTTGTTTTGGGATGATCATCTTAGAATCAACAAGATTATCATCTTCAACGAAAGGGCTTGTCTAAACAAAGTGTCATTAGTAAATACCAGTATGTAACTAAACAAAGATGGTTAAATGAACCAGTTCTAACTTTCTAGAACAAAATACTGTACCATGTCAAAGATTAGTGATAGTACTTAAAATATTATTACACCATTAAGTAATGGAATGGAGTGCCTTTCAGTTAATAACTTTCAATTCAACAAATACTAATTAGATACCAAAATTTGCTGGTAATATGGAAGACACAAATATAAGGGTCTCCAACATGCAATGCAGAGCTAAGAAATGCCACTATATAATTCTGGGTAAAAGAACATCTCCAAAAAAATTAATAAAATTTCAGAATACTGAAAATCACTTGCTCCATATTTTCAGTTATTCAATTTATAGATACTACTTTAATATTGTATAAAGCAAAACTGAAACTTACCTTTTTCAGAGGAGTAGCTTGCCTCATATCATATAGTACTATATTCCTGTCAGAAGCACAACTTCCCAAGAGAAATGTCTAAAAATAATATAGTAACTGCCAGTTAAAAGCAGGAATTGAAGTGATGCATATCGAGTTTATTTGGTATATAAATGATTTAATTATCCTGAATATTTATGTTAAAACACCAAATTATAACACTATTTCATGAAGAGATAATAAATCATCCATAATCTGAGCAAACCAAGTCTACTATTTTTACTGTTACATGTACAAACAGATATTAATGATGAGAGAGTACAGGTAACATTTATTCTAATTTATAATAGAACATATTTTACATATTATTCTCCATCTTAAGATTTGTTTACTATTTTTCATTATTATATAACAGTTGAAACAATACTTTCCTATATTAAACTCTTGTAACTACTGCCATAACGTGATATTACTAAATCAAAACATGAATAATTCTACGCCTTTTGATATTTAGGGCTAATGATTCTCAGAGTTGTGCTGATAGACAATGCAATGTGGGAATGTGCCCATTTTACTGCAAAATAAGATAAGTTTATGCCAGCATAAGGTAATGCCACTTTACTGTTACTTCCTCTTTAAAGTATAGCAAGAACAAGAAACATTATTTACTAACTCCTACACTGTCTACTCAGTTCAAATAAAACATCATAAATCTACTGCTATAACCATGAACTCTCCTCAGCCCTTTCTAAAAGCCTCCTACTTCAATTGCTGACTCTGAGTCCTCCCCTAGTAATCTCCCTCTGCCTTTCTCAGCTTATCCTTGTATCACTTCAGGTTATGATCAAGTTCCATTTCTAAAAACAAAGACTTTGATTTGAGCAAAGGAAAAGATTCTACCTAGGCAGCTTAGTTGAAAAGTCAATTTTTAAATTGTAAATGGTGGCAGCACTAAGCATAATCTTGTGACTTTATCAAGATTTTAAGCTTTGATATTTTCATGAAATATTATTAATGATTAGAAAAGACAATATATTCTATTGATTTATAGCCACCTGCCCTTTCCATTAAGTTTAATATAGGCTGAGACACGCACACCATTCGCTTTTTACCACTAATTCAGTTCACAAGGTTTTAAAAACAATATGCTCACAGATGGACAAAAGAGCTATTATACAGAGAAGTATGGAAAACATGGTCACTAAGTCATGACTAATAATTATGTCAGTTTTTTTTGACATGAGTGGTCACTAAAACAGATGCAACAGATTCTGTCTCAAAAAAGTATTATTATCTGTCTTGGCTCATTATTTTTTACAATAATATAACCATCTCTAATTTAGGCAACACTTCAAAAAATGTCTATACAATATTTACATTCAAAACAAACCTCTAAAGGTACATTGAGAAATACAATTAATCTCATATAAAATAGATTAACAACTACATAGAAGATTTCTTGCTACTAGAAAACCCTGGTTCTACCTAGTTTCCCATCAAGATGGGCATGAAAAAGTTCTTACAAATTACCTGTATTTGTAGCCTGCTTCTACTCAGTGTGACCATGTCCCTGCTCTGCAAAGATGGCTTGTCCCTCTAGACCATACCTTACTTCTACAACCAAGGACAACAGGGAAGGAAAATAGATAAAGAGGTAAAGAAGACAAAATAGATACTTTATAGACTAGAGATCAGTAAACTTTTCTCATAAAAAGGCATTCTCTTGTGGGCCAAAGCAAACAGATGATATGTAAGCAAGAGGACCTCTGTATGGTCTAGTAAGACTTTATTAAAAGCAAAATCAAACAACAATAAAAAAAAAAAAAGCAAGCCAACAGACAGGCAGCAGGCCACATTTGGCTCACAGACTATAACTTGCCAACCCCTTCTCTAGCCTCCCGCAAGAGAGAATATATATATAGGTACATGCTGGTGGGAAGAAGATTATCCTCTTGGCTGTCTGCGTCTTAGCTAAACCTCAAGGCCAAGCTTACAGAATACTGCTGTACCTCATGTTTTAATATATCACATGAGCAATCTCTACATACTGTTTCTTTAACATAATCTTTCTTCTTTTTACCAATTTGAGTCGTTTAGGGTATGAAACTTTCACATCAGGATTTTCTCTTATAGCACCTAACATGGTAACCTCTGATAACTTCTAAAATCAGCTTATACACGCAGCAATCTCCCTTTCTTTCTGAAGGAAAGAGCATCTCTAATGTCTTCTGCACAATGAGGACCATCTATTTCTATCTACTTAGAGAAAGCTCACATAAAGGTCAAGAGTCCAAGGGAACTAATTTAGCAGGCCAAGTTCCATTCCTAAATTCACATATGAACTGATCAAATGTAGTGGCTAATCTGCAGGTCTTTCCTTATGATAGGAAGGAAGTAGGAATTACAATTCAGACTTCTGAGAAAAGAAGGATATAACTTACTATCATGCAATCCAACAATGATCATGGTTATATGCTAGTACACTTATGACTTATAGAAGCAGTACACTTATGGAAACAGAGCAAACAGAGCTCAAATGTTCTTCCTTCTGAACTCCAAGAGCTAAGAATAATTAACATATTCCTGAAAGTATAATGCTATGAGCTGTGTAGCATGAGTATAAAAGTCCAAAATACTGAGCATAAATGCATGCCTACGCTTGTGAGGCTGAGGCAGAAAGACTGTCAGTTCAACACTAGTCTTGGCAACATAGTAAATTTGAGGTCAGCTTGTACTACATAGTTAGACACTATAAAACAAACAAACAAACAAACACAATGAAAGTCCAGTATTTGCTTGGATTCTACTGCCATTCATACCCCTCCCTCAATGCTTAACATTGATATCTAGGACTAAAATGCAGACAAACATTTGGTAAATTACTTTAATCACACATTCAAACAAAGCTAAAATCAAACAATCAGCAAACAGGAAGAACAACATTTTTTTAAGAGGACATTACCTCAATTGGGTTAAATTTAACACTATTTATGCTGTCAAATCCCCAAGTCATTGAACATATAGGATTGGCTCTTTGCTCATCCCAAATGTCTACTTGCTGTCCACATGTGGCAAATGCAGGATCTTTCCAGTGATGATCAATTCCAGTGTATACTGTCTTTAAAATCAAAGAGGTTGTTATAGATAGGTCTCTTCACCACTTCAAATCTACAGAATAGTATTTTAAATATATTTATTTATATCCATTTTTTAAGGAAACACTTGATCACAAAGTCTTCGTTGAAGTGTTTCCTTAATGAAGAAAAACAAATCAAAAGACAAGATATTTTATAGGGAGCGGGGGAGAAGTTGTGGAGGTGGGGAGGAAAGGGATGGTAGGAGAAAAACAAAGGAGGGGGTAACTGCTTGATAGGAAATGTACTCAATACCTTACTCATGTAACTGTAACCCCTCTGTACAGTATCTTTACAGTAAAATATATTAAAAAATAAAAATAATGCTGTAGAAGACTATTAAAAAAAGGTATTTTATAAAAATGCAACCCAATTTGTTTTAGGAAATCTTAACTTATTTGGTATCACCTACAAATTATTTCTATTTCATACTTATATTATCCATACTAATACATTCCCCTCTATAGCCCTTTAAGAATATTTAGAATTTCTTGACATTTGAAACAGAATCTAAGTTTATACTAACTATACTGCTGAAATAAAGTGAGTGTGTGTGTGTGCGCGTGCGTGCGTGCCAGTAATGAGGCTTTAATTCAGAGCCCAGGTGCTGTCCCTTAGCTTCTGTACTCAAGGCAAGCAGTCTAGCCATGTACCACTTGAGCCACCTCCACTTCTGGCCTGTTGGTGGTAAATTGCAGATGAAAGTCCCATGGACTTCCTTGCATGGTCTGGCTTTGAATGGCAAACCTCTGATCTCAGCCTCGTAAGTAGTGTAACAGACATGAACCACTGGTACCCAGAAAAGTGGTGATTTTTAAAATGTATATATTTTAAAGATTAAATCTAATTTTAGGATTCTGTTAAAATAATTATTAGAATTCTGTTTAACATAAAAATGTAAGTATTATTAAATATGGGAAGGTCAGTTATTTTTGTTTTTTAATTTTTTATTGTGAAAATACCATACAGAGGGGTTACACTTACATGGGCAACGTAATGAGTACATTTCTTTTTTTTTGGGGTGGGGTCTGGTTGTGGGGCCTGAACTCTGGGCCTGGGCACTGTCCCTCAGCTCTTCAGCTCAAGTTCTACCACTTGAGCCACAGCACCACTTCCAGCTTTTTTCTTTTTGCTTATGTGGTGCTGAGGAATCGAACCCAGGGCTTCATGCATACAAGGCAAGCACTCTACCACTGAGCCACCTTCCCAGCCCCAATTAAATCATTCTTACACACGTTAAAAAGACTTAAATGACTTAAGTCTTATACTTACAGTAAAAAATGAAGTACCACAAAATCGAGTACATATTCCTCGTACAAAACCTTCATGTGCTTGAATGGTACGGATACATTTTCGCTTAGTTAGGTTCCAAATTTTAACCTATGATAAAGTATACCAGAAAGCTTTAGTGTACACAAATGTCAACTGCTCAGGCACAGAAGTACTACATTTGAAGAAAGATTCAACACTGAAAAGGCTATAAATCTCCGGCAGCTAATACCAAAATCCTTTGAGTAAATAATGTAATACAAAGAAATATATCAACAAGCTGAAAATTCAATCTGTCAATTCTAGTTTCAAAACCATTTTACCTTATCAGAGTAGGGTAAGTTTTGAATCACTAATAGCACTCGTTAATATCAACATTATTAATAACCATTAACATCTTCTGTGAAAACTATACACAATTTTGTCAAATTGAACCTTAAACTATTGCATTTATAATTTCTCAGGACTAAATAAACTACTAACTGTATTATTTCAAACAGAATTTACTCTTTAAAAAAAAGATGTATTTTCTTTCTTTCTTTTTTTTTGTCAGTCATGGGGCCTGAACTCTGTCCCTCAGCTCTTCAGCTCAAGGTTAGCGCCCTACCACTTGAACCTCAGCGCCACTTCCGGCTTTTTTTCTGCTTTTATGGTGCTGAGGAATTGAACACAGGGCCTTATGCATGCTAGGCAAGAACTCTACCACTGAGCCAACTTCCCAGCCCCAGAATTTACTCTTGAGAATTACATTACAACCAAAGTAAAATTTATAGTTAAGTAAAAATTAAAGGCAAAGTACAATACAAAAGGTTTAAAATGATACTTGCCTCTCCATCACAAGCCCCAGAAAGGACAGTAGACAAGCTCTTTGGATGCTTTGCCAAGCAATTGACTCCATCTCGATGACCATCCAAGGAAGCAAGAAACGGTTTTGCAAACACACGTTCCAGTTTTGTAGCATTTAAAGCTCTTATGTATTCTCTTGAGACCTCAAAAGGATGTAAGGTAGGATCATAGTTCCTTGGAACTGAAATCAGAATGAGCTCTCTTAATAAAACACTAATTCACATTTAATATCTCCTGTGGAAGACTTCAGCTGATCCTTAATATATTTCAATAAGCCTATAATAAGGGACTCTGTTTTATGCCTAGCACATTAACAAAAATTAGGAAAGGTTTATTCACAGTTTTCCCAAAACTAAAAGAAAATACAACTTGCAAAATACTTGAGTACACCTGTAATCACACACATACACTGTTTTTCCTTCTATATATCTTATTCCATTGCAGCTGAATTGTAACTTTTGACACACTATTCAGTCGTATTCCTTACGGCTAGCAGTTTCTGGCACAAAGTCAGACATGGCACAAAGTACAATACCAATGTTTTCTTAACTAAACTCTTTTAGCTGCTTGTAGATCAAGGAACATTATTAATCTCTGGTATTAAACACTATAATGCTAGACATACATGATGATGATTATATTATGGTGCTACTAGGTCATTTAATCTCTATTCATTTAATTGCTAACTCTCTGGGTTAGGTTCGAATACTATTTCCTACCTTATAGATTAGGAAACTGAGGCACAGAGAGGTTAAGTAACTTGCCTACGAAGTGATAGAGCCAGGATCCAATGTGGTCTGGCTCCATGACCCACATTCTTAACTACTCTGCCAAATATGTTGTCTTAGTTAATAATAACAATTAGGGAAAAATAATCCTAAATCCACACATTTAGGCAGAGTGACACCCCCTCGTTAACTTAGGTACAGGAGAACCACAAGGAGGAGGAATAAAGACAAGGCTGGCTGGGGGCAACAGACACATGAAGAAATGCTCAACTTCCCTAGCCATAAAAGAAATGCAAATCAAAACACTGAGATTCCACCTCACACCATTTAGAATGGCTATAATCAAGAAATCTAATAACAATAGATGCTGGAGGGGATGTGGCCAAAAGGGAACCCTACTGAACTGTTGGTGGGAGTGTAAGCTTGTTCAACCACTTTGGAAACCAGTATGGAGGGTCCTCAAAAGACTACACATAGAGCTCCCCTATGACCCAGCAATCCCACTTCTGGGCACTTACCCAAATGATCACAAACAAGGCCATACTAAAGCTACCAGCACAACTATGTTTACTTCAGCATTATTTTTTTTGCAGCATTATTTATCATAGCTAAGATATGGAACCAACCCTGATGCCCCTCAGTAGATGAATGGATCAAGAAAATGTGGTATATATACACAATGGAATTCTATGCCTCCATCAGAAAGAATGACATTTCCCCATTTGTTAGGAAATGGAAAGACTTGGAAAAAAATCATATTAAGTGAAGTAAGACAGACCCAAAGAAATCTAAGTCCCATGGTTTCCCTTATTTGCAATAATTAGTATACGTTTAGAATAATCTTATCAGATGAGCAGAAAAGCTAAAAGCTATGTATATCTAACCATATAAGCTAATGCTAAGTGAAATGAACCCCAAGATATGGATAGAAGAGGTTTTTCTTTGTTGTTGTTGATTTTAATGTACTATGTGTTTGTGTTTCTTTTGTATGTTCTTCCCCGCTATGTACATCCCCTGTCGTCACTGTATTTGATTTTAGTACCCTGCATCTTGTATATACATTTATCTAATTTGGGGAGGGGAAAGGGAATAACAAAATGCTGAAACAAGGACACAGGATGACCCATTGCAACAATGATACTCACAAGACACTATGTTGGAAATGAACTTTACAACTTGGGAGGGGGGAGTAAGAGATGTGGGGGAGGAAAGGGATAGTAGGAGAAAAACAAACGAGGGGGTAACAACGCTCAACAAGAAATGTACTCATTACCTTACTCATGTAACTGTAACCCTTCTGTACAGCATCTTTACAATAAAATAAAATTAAAATTTTTTTAAAAAAAGCTTTTGTCCTATTCTGCTTGTCCTAGACTTATACTAGTTATTGCAAATAAGGGAAAACCAGGGGACCTAGGTTTCTTTGGGTCTGTCTTACTTCACTTAATATGATTTTTTCCAAGTCTTTCCATTTCCTAACTAATGGGGCAATGCCATTCCTTCTGATGGAGGCATAGAATTCCATTGTGTATATATACCACATTTTCTTGATCCATCTACTGAGGGGCATCTGGGTTGGTTCCATATCTTGGCTATGGTGAATAATGCTGCAATAAACATAGTTGTGCCGGTAGCTTTAGTATGGCCTTGTTTGTGATCATCTAGGTAAATACCCAGAAGTGGGATTGCTGGGTCATAGGGGAGCTCTATGCGTAGTCTTTAGAGGTCCCTCCATACTGCTTTCCAAAGTGAACAAGCTTACACTCCCACCAACAGTTCAGTAGGGTTCCCTTCTGTCCACATCCCCTCCAACATTTGTTGTTATTAGATTTCTTGATTATAGCCATTCTAAATGGAGTGAGGTGGAATCTCAGTGTTGTTTTGATTTGCATTTCTTTTATGGCTAGAGAAGTTGAGAATTTCTTCATGTGTCTATGGCCACTCTTTTTTCCTTTTCAGAGAAAAGATGATGCTAAGTGAAATAAACCCCAAGATAGGGACAGAACTGTTTTCTTTCTTGCTAATGTTTTTAATGTATTTAAAATATGAGATTTTTTTGCTTCTTTTGTATATGCTTCCCCCACAGTATAACCCCTGTTTTCACTGTATTTGATGTTGGTGCCTTACATCTTGTATGTACATTTTTCTAATTTGGGGAGGGGAAGGGAAATAACAAAATGCTGAAATAAGGATACAGGTTGTAACAATGAGATGTACAAGACACTATGTTGAAAATTAACTTTACAACTTGGGGGGAGGGAGGAGTTGGGAAAGTGGGGAAGGAAAGGATGGTAGAGGATAAACAAAGGAGGAGGTAACAACTCTCAATAGGAAATGTACTCATTACCTTACTCATGTAACTGTAACCCCTCTGTATACTATTTTCTCAGTAAAAAAAAATTTTTAAATGCATTCATTACCTTAATCATGTAAACTGTAACCCCCACGTACAGCATCTTTACAATAAAATAAAAAATTTTAAAAACCAACAAAGGTAAAAAGGTGCTGAAGGTGTGTCTCAAGTGGTTCAGCATGTCCCTTCCAAGGACAAGGCCCTGAGTTCAATGCCTAGTACAACCAATCAACAAAGAAAACACCTTAATGTGTAAAAGTAAATTAACATTCTTACCCCTGACTTCACCATATTATCTCTACTTTCTAATTCACTGTTAATAATACATTTCACAGGCAATAAAACTTACACTTGATTATGCTTATGAATTTCATCTTCTATATTCCCTAGTACCAACTCAAAGTCCTACTCATCTTCTTTGAAGAATTTAAGTATGTATGTATGTATTTATTTATTTATTTTTGCCAGTCATGGGGCTGGAACTCAGGGCCTGGGCACTGTCCCTGAGCTTCATTTGCTCAAGGCTAGCACTCTATCACTTGAGCCACAGCACCACTTCTTGTCTTTTCTGTTCATGTGGTACTGAAGAATGGAAACCTGAGCTTCATGTATGTTAGGCAAGCATTCTACCACTAAGCTACATTCCAGCCCATCTTTGAAATATTTATTCATTCTTCCTTCTTCCCTATATCTAACTTTTTTTTTTTTTTTGGGTCCCGTCGTGGGGCCTGAACTCTGGGCCTGGGCACTGTCCCTCAGCTCTTCAGCTCAAAGCTAGCGCTCTACCACATGAGCCACAGCGCCACTTCTGGCTTTTTTCTTTTTTGCTTATGTGGTGCTGAGGAATCGAACCCAGGGCCTCAGGCATGCAAGGCAAGCACTCTACCACTGAGCCACCTTCCCAGCCCCTATATCTAACATCTTAATGTGGATCCTTATTACCTTCCCCTTGGAATACTACAGTACCTCCCTACTTGATTTGTTAGAAGTTTGCATTATCATTGAATTAATAATCCTAAAACTACAATATTCCTAGGCTCACACTTTTAATTTTATTTTTAATTTTTTGGCCAGTTGTGGGGCCTGAACTCTGGGCCTGGGTGCTGCCCCTCAGCTCTTCAGCTAAAGTGCTCTACCACTTGAGCCACAGCACCAATTCCGGCTTTTTCTGCTTATGTGGTGCTGAGGAATCGAACCCAGGGCCTCATGCTTGCAAGGCAAGCACTCTACCACTGAGCCACCTTCCCACACCCCTAGGCTCACACTTTTAAAAGGGACCTTAAATTAACAGTCTTCATGTGCTTTAGATTCTGTGTCCCATTAGTACAGCTTTTGGGAGATATTTTTCTTTCAACATATGTACATTTAGATAAGACTATGCAATTAATGATGTTTTTGGCAAAACAAAAAATAAAATATTTGTTCAACACTATGATAATATGATAAACTCTCAAGTTTTAATCCAATTCCTTTCAACATTTTTGTCTACCATAGTTGAAAAAACTTTCAGGGAATAGTGGCTTTTGCACAGTACCAACTTAATGCGAATATATGCACACTGGAACCAATTGTTTATTTTGCATATATCTGTGATGAATAAATGTGACATCAGTAGCTGTGTACCTTCCAAAGAGCTGAACTGATTCAGTTAACACAATACTGTGCTAAGGAAGGAATGGCTACTTCACAAGGATAAGTAATCCAGTTCACAATATTACTAAGTATATCTAATCCTCAGCCCCACTTATTAGTTTTGGAAAGGTTATTTCTGAATTATGTTTAGAAATGTGCTATTTACTATGATGTAAGCAGTTACTTTTAAAACTAATTGATATTTTAATAATTTTAATAGTTAAAAACCAAAAAAGTCCTCTATTTCCAAATATTTTCATGTAAGCAAAATGAATTTTTAAAATTCATAATTTTACCTATGGATGAAATTATATTTTTCCAGCATAGAGACTGAAAAGCTAGGACCTTCAAGTGGCTCTTTTGCTCATGGCTGGCACTTTACCACTTGAACCAAACCTCCAGTCCAGCTTTTTTGCTGGTTAGAGTTGGAGTTTCCAGGACTTTTTTCTGTCCAGACTGGCTTTGAAC